GTAGGTAAGTAATAATAGAAGAATATATATATATATATATAGAGAGAGAGAGAGAGAGAGAGAGAGAAACATGTCACAATGAAAAAGAAATATGTAAGAATGTTGATTTATTTTACACGATTTTCTATTAATACTGATATTTTCTAATCATAGAAATTAATGACAAAGAACAATGTATATGGAATTAAACGTATTCATTCAAAATTGAAAAAAAAATTCATTTCTATGTGAAAATATTAATAATAAAATTATAATCAAAGTTAATCATGAAAGTGAGAAATGAGACGTAGAAACAGAATGGCTAGCTAATTCGAGGCGACACCCAAATCGTTTTTCGATCTCGAAATAATCTTAAAAATATTCTAATGGATCATTTGACGTACTTCAAAAATCTTGTTACACAATTAAAAAGAACAACTTAGAAATTGAGACATGTGGATGATCAACACGGACGTTTTCGTGAGACAATACCGCGGCGCGAAGCCGCACACTCATGAGCTAACCTCAAAAAGACGATCGACGATCGTGAGTCGCATGTCAGAATAGAAAATGTAGAAGCCAGTCTTCACTGCACTATAACGCTACGTTATTAACTCAGCACGAGACGCGGCTAATAATAAAATCACCAAGAATAATAAGCGTTCTTTGTCGAATGATAAGGAAGCAAGTGGCCACAAAGTGACATTCACCCTTCGTACACATACATACGCGCCCGCGCACATTGACGCCATGTTCTCACTCCTACTCTTCTACATTCGTGATGGATGAGCGATTGCGTTGCCATCTAACAGTCAAGGCGACGATCAGACGTATGTATTACAATTCAACGTTTGGAACTCTATATCTCAAATGCGTGTTAAAGATTTTAACAAAAGTAAAAAATAAAATGAAAAATAAATAAAGGTAAAGAGCAAAAAATATTGTTAAATTTGAAGAAATTTTTATTGGCTGAATCTAGTATATAGTAAATAATATATAATATATAGTAATCTAATATAGTATATAAATAATACATAACAAATCAAATTTAAAACTTTATTTTGTATCAAATATATATTGATTTTTTAATGTAATTATTTTAACATATTTTTTAAAATTTTGATGTAATTAATAGCATTAAAGATATTATTTAAAAAAAAAAATGTGAATATTTGCAAATCAAATATATATATTCGAAATTTATTATCCGTAAAAAAAATGTATAAAGATGATGAATGATGAAAATATTAAACTTTAAACTTACTATGTAAAACTTTATATTCTAAACTTTTTCTAAATTAATAGATAAAAAATAGTAAATAATGATAAATTAAAAAAAAATCATCAAATAAAATTTATAAATTGAACTTTAATGAAACATTGATAATCATAGATTACTTAAATTTAGTTTCATTATCATAAAAATATTATATTGAAAAAATAATGTAACAATAGCAATATTCTTTATTTTCAAGAACAATATATATATAATATAATATAAGAATACATAAAATAAATTAAATTTATCAAAATATTTGTTTTATGTTTATCAAAATGTTTAATAAGATTTATCTAATCTGATAAATTTATCAGAATTATTGATATCATAAAGATAACAGAATTATTGATATCCTTCCCGCTATCTGGCAGCCATCTTACAGCCTATCCCTATTAAACATCTTTCCGGCATAAAAGGTTATAAGTCCCAGGCCGGCAAGTAACTATAGCGATTGCGCGAACTTAGTATAGTTGAAACCGGTGAAGGTGTAAGCGTTGTCAGTCGACTACGTGTGTCGGAAAAAGCAACATCGTATCAAGCGCAACATTGCGCTTTCGACAAATTGTGACTTAAATCGGTTTTCTTTTAGTGAGGTTTCATATGATATCGAATTATTTATTAATCCAGCTTATTCTTCTAGCTGATTCATGAAAATATAATTGTAAGTATATTATTTCTTATGCTTTCCATTTATCCAAGTATTAACCAATTCTATACATAATATTATAATTTATTATATACGATTGATATCTGAAAAATTCTGAATTGTTTCTAATATATATTTAAAATTTGTTTTTCGATCATAAATTTATCGTTGAAATGTCTGGACATTCAATCACCGTTATGCGAGTAACTTCGTGACTCTAGTCGATTGACCGTGCCCATTAAATGAACACGTTTAATAAATCATCGCGACTAACAATATATCTAATTTTTCGAGTGTTGTTTATTAATGAATCAAAACCTTTTCTTTGTAACATGCGAATGACTTCAAGACTAAAAACTTTCAACCGGTAAGAAACATTTAATCGTGATTAATCGCCTGAAATGCGGAGCGAGTTAATTTCCGGCTTGACGAACACTGTCAAACTCTTATGGTTTGGTAACTGGTAGCCTTGATGCGTAACACCTCAATTACATCATTATTAGTCTGACAGCGTGCTAAAATTGTTGCGCTGCCGGTGTTCATATACTTCAAAAGAATTTATTTAAATGTGACTCGTGTGTACATTAATGTTCGTCTGTCCAGACGCTCGTAGTACGCCCGATTAATCGATAAACTGACCGGCGTTTCCCATAAAAACCTACCCGGCAAATTGACACAGTGAGATAATTTGTTACACAAGGTCAGTTCATTAATCGACATTAGTAAAGTGATAAACATAGAAAAAGATAATAATCCAAATGATTCAATCGATTAATATGGATTCTATGTAATTGCTTTTTAATAAAGATGCTCTTTATTATAATGCAAGTTGCTCTTTAGTTTCATGAAATTTAATAATTTTATTAAAATTAATTAATTATATAATAATGAAATAAAATTATGAAATATAATTGATTCATATGTAATTATAATTGATTTAGATTCTATTATCTGATACTATTAATTCATGCTATTACGAATAATATTAACAAAATATACTAATCTTTTTCACTAACTATTAAATATTATAATTAAAAAAAAACGTTATAAACGTATAATTTAGAATAAGTCTCTTGATTTTTTATTAATATAAAATGTTCATTCGTAAAAATTTCTTTGTTTTTTTTTTCAAAAAATCAATAGCATCCTTTTGAGTTTTTCGAAAGTTTTATACTTTACATTTTCGGTGCGTCAAGTGCAAGTATTATGGACAAATTTTGTATTACTTAAAAATAATCACGTTGTATCTTAAAACATGAACATATTGTCGAGCAATAAAATATTAAATTACATTGATTATTATATCAGTTTGCACAATAATTATTATTGTTAATTATGTAAGAAATATATAAATTATAATTTATGTCTTATCTGTATTTTTAATTTTTTTTTTGTTTATAAAATTCATGAATTCGTTCAATTCACATAGAAGAACGAAAACAAATGTAAATTACTTTTCGAAATTGATTAAAAGAAAAAAAAAATAAAAACAGAATTTATTTTTAAAATGATTTTCTAATATAAATTTTTTTATTATATATTATTTTTAATATATTTTTCTATTCTTTAATAAATATATTAATGGTTAAAAATTTATATATCTTTAAACATGTATCATCATAAAAAAATTATAATGTTATATGATTATGTATAATAATTAGTTTTTTATTATATATATTAATTTCATATTTTTCTTTATTTCCTTTCAGTTTTTTTTCAATATTCAATATAAATATTACAATATTCAGTTCAATATTCAATTTAAATTATATTTATTAGAATATAATAATTAAGATAATATTAATTTTTTGTAGATAAATGTCAACTAAACACAAAAATCAGAATAAAATGAAGACTCAAAGACAAGTATTGAATGCAATTCATCGGCTAATTGAATTCATAGCCAGAATGATATACATGTTTATTGCATTTTTAAAAGGTCCTGCAGAATCTCAACCACCTATAAAGGATCTAACACTTTTACACAGTGCAACTACTTTAGCTTTTAAAATTCGAAATAGACAGGTAAATTTGATTTTATCTCTTAATATAAATTAAATCTGATTGTATATCTGATTGTAATTATAGAATAAATTATAGATATTTCTAAAATAATTATTATTTTATATAATAATTATATGTAATATTATTATATATAATATTAAAATTAAAATTAATAACAATTTACATTTATTTATATTTATATATATTATATATTATATATAATAAATATTTATGCATTAAAATTTATATTTACAGTTAATGTCAGAAGAAATAGTACAATCTTATATAGATAGGATAAGAGAAATTCAGCCAGTGTTAAATTGTATGGTAGAAGATCGCTTTGAAGATGCTCTCAAGGAAGCAAAAATATGTGATGAACTTTTAAAATCTCAGAATGCTCCATCTCCTCAAGTATTAGCTGAAAAGAAACCTTTCTTTGGTGTGCCTTTTACTACAAAAGTAATTCCATAAAATATAACAAATATATCTTATAATAACATTTTAAATATTAATATACATAACTTAAATTCTTTCTATTTTTTAGGATTGCATTGGAGTTGCTAACATGAAACAAACAGCTGGTTTGACTGTTCGTAAGAATATTATTTCCAAATATGATGCAGAAGTGATCAGATTAATGAGAGATGCTGGAGCTATCCCTCTAGCAACTACAAATGTATCAGAATTAGCTATGTGGTGGGAAACTTCCAATTGTTTATATGGAACTACGAAAAATCCTTATAATACTAGACATATTGTTGGTGGATCCTCTGGTGGTGAAGGTTGTATACAAGCAGCAGCTGGTTCACCATTAGGAATAGGATCGGATATTGGTGGCTCTATTCGTATACCGAGCTATTTTAATGGAATTTTCGGACATAAACCTTCTACAGGAATAGTTTCAAACGATGGTCAATATCCGAGTGCACAAAGTGAAGATCAAAAACGATTGCTCGCAATTGGCCCTATGTGCAGATATGCACAAGATTTATCGCCTATTTTAAAAATTCTGGCAGATAAAAATGCGGATATATTACGTTTAAATGAAAAAGTAGATATCTCGAAACTCAAGGTATAAATCGTTTGTTTAAATTGTTATGAATAATTGTATGTAATATATAAGTGTTTATTTTAATTTAGTTCTATTATATGGAAGACGACGGTGGTCAACTCTTAACATCCCCAGTTGAACTCGAAATAAAAGAAGCAATGAGGAAAGTGATTCGATATCTAGAAAAAGCTTATAAAGTCAAAGTGACTAAACTCAATATTAGAAAATTGAAAAAGAGCACTGCATTATGGATGGCAAATATGAGTTGTAAAGATGAGAAAGATTTCACGTATGAATTATCAAATAGAAATGGTCATATAAATTTATGGTGGGAATTTTTGAAATGGATAATGTTCATGAGTAATCATACATTAATAGCTCTTCTTACTGCTACGTTTGAAAGATTTGCGGTGAAGCATGGAAGCGACCAACACACTAAACTGATACAAGAAAGTAGGGAACTTTATCGGGAATTTCAGGTATAATCTCAAAAATAATTATTCATACTTATGAACTATAAAAATGGCGTCTTACAAACTGTTGATGCAATATTATATACATTGATAAGTACTTGTAATGTAACTCATCAGGATTGGAATTGGCTCCTACCTTCTTCGTCTTCTTTTCTTACTATTGCATTGCGGAACAATACTCTTTATTAAAATGGACGTAATGTCTTTCTCGAGTCGTATCGTGCAAACTGGTCAGAATACTAGTCTGTATTTTACGGTATCATGAGTTATTTCTAATAAGTAGTAAAAAAATATTGCTCTGCATGTAGAATGAAATTTTTTTCCATTCGAATAGCAAAGAGCTCTATTATTTTTTTAAATCTCTTTTGACCTTGTAGTTGCGCTAACGAAGCAAGAAAACGAGTGATTGAAGTTGCAGCATGCATCCATAAATATCCAAATTTTTTTCTTTTTCTTAAATATTATGTATTCTAATCTAACATTTTCTTAATAGGATATTTTAGGTGAAGATGGTGTATTTCTATTTCCAACACATCCAACTGCAGCGCCATTACATCATGAACCGCTAGTAAAAGCATTTAACTTTTCATACACTGCTATTATTAATGTGTTGGGCTTGCCTGCTACTGCTTGCCCTTTAGGTTTAAATAAACAAGGACTTCCTATCGGTATACAGGTATGATTCACAATATTAACAAACCAGAAGTTCATTTATTAATTTATTCATTATATTTACTAGAATAAGAATTTTAATATTATGTAAATTATATCCATTATAGATTGTTGGTGGCCTACATCAAGATCGTTTAACTATAGCTGTTGCTGAAGAATTAGAAAGAGGTTTTGGAGGCTGGGTACCTCCGGTTATCGTAGCTTGATATATTTATTCTTTGGACAATAATCTAATGCGTAATATGATACATAAATTTTTTTTATCATACTCTGCCATTATTATTTTTCGAAAACTAATTTACACCTGATTAATTCATACCAGAAAAAAAAGTACAAATTCATATTCAAAAAATAGATATCGATGTTTTAAATATTTTAGGAAGAATTGAAAAGGAACTGATTATACGTATATACGTAATATGATAAATATAAAAATTTTCGAATCGATTCATAATCGATTATGAACTAAAATTTCGTTAAATGCGTGAAATTATACGTATATTATTATATTATACATATATATATATTGGATATATATATTATATATGT